ATTTTATATTATTAATTATATTAAATAGTTCATTATAAATGTTACATTAATTGTAGGATCCTAGGATGTTATCTCTGAATACAGAATCCCTACAGTGGGAACCAGAGCTGACTTCACAGGCTGTGGTCTTGCTAAAGCTGCATGGTGCTACTCAGTCTCAATAGTAGTAGCTCTACTAACGATCTTGTCTTGAAAACTTGTTTACTCTGTACGAAGGTATGTCTGTTACTATTACTCTGTTGCTATGTCATATTAAGCGCAAGTAGGTAGGTAGACCATCAGCTTACTTTATATTGGCAAAGCGCGAATTACAAAATACGGCTGGGTTTCTATAGTGACTCTGATTTAAGGATAATACTTATGTAATTATATTTGATATATGGCTTTTCATTATTGTTACTGAAATACAGACTGGGACTTCACCCCATGAATGGGAAACATCAGTCACTTCTAACGTGAGGGTGAAATGCAAATAAGTGTCACTAACTTTGTCTTATTGTTGAATAGGTTTAAGTGGAAACCCAGCAGATATAGAAAGGAGAGAAGCAGTTTTTGGGAAGAACTTTATACCTCCTAAAAAGCCAAAAACATTTCTTCAGTTAGTGTGGGAAGCACTACAGGACGTTACACTAATTATATTAGAAATTGCAGCTGTAGTATCCTTGGGCCTTTCTTTTTACCAGCCTCCAGGAGGAAACGAATCACGTAAGTCAACTTTTTAAAAAAAGTAGGTAGCTACCTGTATTATAATGCTGAGTTTCCTGGTCTAACATGCCTATACTGTAAATCTGATAGGAAACAGTAAGTCAGTGCAAAAGCAGCTTATTGTTCCTTATTGAGAGAACACTACTAAAACTCTAGTTTGCCTTAAAAAGGCAGCGTGAGATTTCCCTGGTCATGATCTGGTATCGTTCTCACCAAAATAATGCCGAAGGTAAAGTGGAAGCAGCAGGAACAAAGACTTGTCTTAGAGCCAGTCATGTTTCTGTGCAAGTGGTTTTTTTAGCTTTGCCTCAAATATTTAAACAATTTATAATTTGCGGTCATGTGCTTTCTTTGGGGAGTCAGCAAGTCTTAAATTTTCCTTGATTTGCAATATGACACTAGTAACTTTTCTTACTTAAGAAATGAAGCTGTATTTATACTTCTAAATGGAAAATGAAGGGATCTGACCTTCATTGAACTGAATTTTTGCAATGATATCTGGCTTGTTAAGATAAAGGTGAAGTGGGAAATGTGGAGAAAGCAGAAGGTAGTTAACTAATTGTCTAGTCTGGCATTCTTATGCCATCGTTTAACAAGATAATAAGGACAGGTCACTCTCTATATCAACTTCTTTTACATTCAGATAAGCAGGGATGTAAATTCTAGGTGGTTTAACTTCCTCTAGCTGCTCTAACTTTCAAGTTCTTTAACTTATTTGTGTGTTACCCTCACTGAAAATAAACGTAAAATTGCAAAGAAGGCTAGCATGGAAAATGTTTAGCAACTATTAGTAGTCTCGTCTGCTTGGCAAAACTATTTCGTTGTTGAAATAACTATCTGCATGAACTTTCTTTAAATCTAAAACCTGTTTTCTACAGTATGTGGATCAGTAAATGTTGGTGAAGAAGAGGATGAATCTGAAGCAGGTTGGATTGAAGGAGCAGCAATCCTCCTATCTGTAGTTTGTGTGGTATTAGTAACAGCTTTCAATGACTGGAGTAAAGAGAAACAATTTCGGGGATTGCAGAGCCGTATTGAACAAGAACAGAAATTCACAGTCATCAGAGGTGGCCAAGTCATCCAAATACCAGTAGCTGACATAATAGTTGGAGATATTGCACAAGTGAAATATGGTAAACATATTTTTAAAGTTGAACTTTCTTTTATTTTTAAAAAAGGAACTGCAGTCAACATACCCAGTGATCTCTCGTAGGTGATCTTTTACCCGCTGATGGTGTACTCATTCAAGGAAATGACCTCAAAATTGATGAAAGCTCACTGACTGGAGAATCTGATCATGTTAAGAAATCTCTCGACCGAGACCCTATGCTGCTGTCAGGTGTGTAATATTTGACAAGTCTTGAAGGAAATGGTTTGCTTCTAGGAGTAAACTGGTTATTTAAAACTTTGAGGCTAAAACCTGGCAAACTGAACCTTATCTAGGCTGACTCCTGAAAGTATCCAAAACCAGTGCAACTAGTACAAAACTTCATCAAAGATAGCAGGCTCTTAAAACTGACAAACATTTTGTCTAGATGCTTATGGTTTTGTTTTCCAGATAGTTTTGGCAATTAAAGCTCATGGGGAACACAGTGGTATATATACACATCTTATGGTTTCATCAGCATGAAGTTTGAGAACTCAGTTCCTTTGTGCTCTGCCGTATAACTGCTCAAGTCTCAGTGGAAAACTTCATTCAATCTTTCAGGTACACATGTGATGGAAGGCTCTGGAAGAATGGTGGTTACTGCTGTAGGTGTGAACTCTCAGACTGGAATCATCTTTACCTTACTTGGAGCTGGAGGAGATGAAGAGGAGAAGGAGAAGGAAAAAGAGAAGAAGGACAAGAAAAGTAGGCATAATAATCGTAAATCCCTGGGGAGGGAAGGGCGAACTCCTGAATGTTACTGGATAAAAACACGTTCGAGTCATCCGGAGCCAGAAATCTTTTTTTAAACCTCAGGAAACAAAACTCGGGTCCAATGGCCTGAGAGTACACCACTACTAATAACTCTTGTCACATGGATTTTTAATTAAACTTCAGATCTCATTGATCAATTAGAGATTGGAAAATTTACAACTCCTAACCAACTGTACCATGTATAAATTGTTAAACTGCCATCTTGTGTAACTTCAAAGTACGTTCATGTCTAATAGCAGATATCTGTTTATGGCAAACAGGTTATTACCAATAACTCAACAAAGTAAGTATATAGTTCTGCTTTTGACAGATAGAAAATGTCCTTTATAGGGAGTTCTTCTATGACACTTAGAGAGGAAAAGCTTGTATCATTGATACTGCTAAGTTTGTGGATATCTTAAGCATATATAAGACTAATTTTGATAAAGATGAGCAGACAGCTGCTTCTGCCACTCTTTTTCTTCCAGAGCTGAAACTTTGTATGCTCAGAGATATACACAAGGCAAATCCCTACCGGCACTTTTCTGTAAACTTTATTTATGGAGGGATGAAGGACTTGAAACCCAGGGCATTTTGGAGCCCTTCTGTTAAGTGTAAAATTAGCTGTCTTCTGTATTCTGAAGGACTTGCTCAGTAACTGGAATTATAAGGTTACTTATCTAAGCCGTAGCCTTTATCCTGAGAATCAAAGCTTAGAAATGTTAACCAGTTATGTTTTGATACTAGCTCTCACAAGACATGTTCAGGACTGAGCTTCACCGTAGCAAAAATTTTTCCTGAAACTGTTGTCAGGTCTACTGGATGGAATTGAGTCTGAGGATTCTTGGCAGAAAAATACGTTTTTTCATCGAAGGAATATGAAACAGTAATGGAGAGCCATACAGAAATGTACTTAGGAATCTCAGTGGCCTTCAAAATAAAGAGGCAGTTGTTGAAATGTGTGCTCTGTGCAGCAATTAAGATTGAACTGTGCTTTTTGTCTTGTCCTAATCCACAAATACTTTATAATTCTGACTCTTACTGAAACTTAGAGTAGTAAATTTCTTCAGAAGTAAGTTAGAAGAATCGTTACAAGAACAATTGAAAATTAGTTTCAAGCTCAAGCATGGTAGTGAATAGTTAACATTGACCTGCAACATTTCCAGGATTAGTGTAGGACAGTTTCCATCCTTTGCTCTTTCTCGTACAGAAAAAGGAGAAGGAAGCAAGCAACAATACCAGCTGCTACAGGAGATATGGAGAAGATTATAGCTTTTATTAACATTCTACTAGTGTTTATTTTGTAAGCAGAAGTCTTTTTGATAGGTAGTGTTTTGACGTATCCTACGACCTTGAACACTTGTGGGGTTTTTTTTTGTCTCCCAGGATAGACAACTTCCTTTTCCCCTTAAGTTAGGTGCCTGATAAGATTCTCTGTGGTAAAACTTGGGTTAAACTAAATTAGCTTCTCTGTGAATGTTAAGGAGATTAAAGTGCCTATTTTCAGTTGGCTGTGTATGGCTTGGTTCAGAGTGAAAGCAAACGTGTGTACAAGGAGTTAAAGTAACTCAAGTGTAGAACTTTGCTCTTGTAAGAGGGAGAGGGGAACTAGGAAAGAACAAATACTAAATTAGGAGACAATGATGAGTTCTCAAGAAGTCTGAAGTGGCATCTTCTGGAGAAGGTGAACATACTTTTTTTTTTCCCTTCTCCTCAGCAGTTCTGAGGTTGCTCAGAGGGACTCTTATAGAAATCAGACTATGTCTACAGTAATAATGTCGTAGAGGTGTTAAATGTTATGCCAGACAGGCTGCTTCATAATTTGATTTTCTTCTACCTGAGTACTCTGATACATTTCAGTCTAATAACCTAAGGCCAAAGACTTAATGAATTATCAGTGATACTGAAAAATTCTGAGTTTTGTTCCAAGTTCCTCAATATTGTGCTTTCATTTCAGATTATTGCAAATAGTAACTATAACCCTTGGTTTCTCTACTTAGGAGAAAAGTTTGCCACTGGCCAAGGTAGTATCTAAACCTTTTTACCTGAAAACCCAAACAAAAAAAGGTAGTGTGCACCCCCACCCTAATAAGGTACACATGAAATGTCGGTCTTCTAGTTACCTTTAATGTTTCACTCATTCATTTTTTTCATTATTTCACTGTCCTTCTTTATGATCTCTTGTTGAACTCCATTTCTGAACAGAGGTAGGAGCGATATTTTATTATGAACTTGAACTATTCTCTTAGTGGTGTAATATTGGTATGTTGCCAACAGATTATGTTCATGCTTGCGTAAATAGGGTTAGCATAGATCCAGTAATCCAGCGCTGTACCTCCATTAAGCTTTGGTGTGGATTTATAAATATTTTATACTACAGTAGCCTCTGCAATGTTGTACAAAAGCACTGATTCTGGAAGTGAAATCCTACAGTTCATTTACAGCAGTAGTCAGACACAGTTGCCAAGTGTTGGAAGAACAGAGGGTAAGACTGAGGCCACCAGAATCACTTTAATGTCACAAATTTCTTTCGTAGGAAAACACTTAGGCAAGCCTTTTAAAAGCTTTCCTCACAAGTAATGGATGTCTGTATCAGTAATTTGTGCAAACTTAACTATGGTAGCATAACGCTGCAGCAGTCTTGTATGGGAAAAGTCCGAAACACTGACGTGGGCTGTTTCTGTGAGTTGACTTATACTTTTAAAGTCTCAGTTGTGTCAGCCCTCTGTTTCCAGTTTGTTCTATGCTTTTTTGTTACAAAAAAATGCAGTTGCTTGTTTCGGCATATGGTAAGGTATGCATTATATATAAACACTGAAATGAACTGTGCAGAGCCGATTTAAAACACAACTTGTTCCCCTCTCTGACAGGTAAAAAGCAAGATGGAGCTGTTGAAAACCGTAACAAAGGTAAATGCAGGTTCTCTGATCCTTTCTTGCAAGTCCCTATTTTCTGAGAGTATATGTAATGAGTACGTACTTTCCTATGAAAATGCATATGGAGTACTTAGATCAAAAGTGCTTATGGTAAAGATGGCATAAGTAAATCTGCCCAAACAAATGCTTAAATGAACTTGGTAGTCTCAACATAGCTAGATACTACAAAAGTAAACTTTGACAATGATTTCCAAGCTATCTTTTTGAGGTGAGTTAATGTTGGAGGTGCCCACCCAGCTGCGTTCTCACTCCCCCTCCTCAGCAGGACTGGGCAGAAAATAGGATGAAAAGCTTGTGGGTTGAGATAAGGACAGGAAGGTACTTACTAATTACCTCCACCGGCAAAACAGACTCAACTTGGGGAAGATTAATTTATTGCCAATGAAAAATAGAAGTAGGACGGTGAGAAACAAAAACAACTAAAAACACTTTTCCCCACCCCACCACCCCCTTCCTTCCAGGCTCAACTTCACTACCGACTCCTTTACCTCCTCCCTCTGAAGAGCACAAGGGGATGGGGAATAGGGTTTTTTGGTCAGTTCATAACACTTGTCTCTGCTGCTCCTTCGTACTCACACTCTTCCCCTGCTCCATTGTGGGGTCCCTGCCATAGGATATAGTCCTTCATGAACTTCTCCAATGTGGGTCCTTCCCACAGGGTACATTCCTTCAGGAACAGACTGCACAAGTGTGGGTCTCTCACTGCAGTGTGGAGATCTGCTCCACTGTGGTCCTCGGTGGGCTGCAGGGGGACAACCTGCCCCACCACAGTCTTCTCCACGGGCTGCACCTGGGCATCTACACTCAACACACTTGTTTAAACATTCACGTGTAGTATGGCATCTCTGGATACAAGATACTGTGCAGTTCTGGTGTTAGTGGAGCCTAGTGTTATTAAACTTTTTAAGTATCGTTGATTTTCGGGGATTCCCCAATGGCTAAACTTTATTTGATCTTAATTTCTAGCTAAAGCTCAGGATGGTGCAGCCATGGAAATGCAACCACTGAAGAGTGAGGATGGTGGGGATGGAGATGAGAAAGACAAGAAGAGAGCAAATTTGCCCAAGAAAGAAAAGTCGGTTCTTCAAGGCAAACTTACAAAGCTCGCAGTTCAGATTGGCAAAGCAGGTATGATGTGTCGGCACCCTCCTTATGTTGATGTCACATGTTTAAATAAAGTTGGAACACACGTAGTTTGTGAGCAGCTCGCCTTGATTGGTTTGATTTATGTTAGGTGCAAAATTCCAACGCATGCAAGTATGCCATTGTGCCTGAGTGTGCTGATGGCTTCTCACACTGCATCATGTGGATGGCTTTTATTTTTCCTTGATTTCAGTACATTCAGGCTCTAGAGTGTCACCTTCTGGGGGAGAAAATTCCAACTTCGTAACATTGGACAGCTGTTATGAAAGATCTTTTTAGATAAGATACGGCATTTAATGATGTACCTAGAGAACTATAAATTGAGTGAAGTCTGGAAAATGTGGTAGGGTCAAACAGGTTATCTCTGGTACTTCCAGAGGTTTAGGAGTTTCCACTTAATATATGCCTTGCTGATATGTAACATTTTTATTGACTTTCTACTATCCTTTACCTTCCGTTACTCTTCTATCAGCTAATATTCAGCTGTCTTGTCAAAACATTTGGTAAACTGTTGCTTCTTGAAAGCAGACTAAAACAACAATAAGTTCAGTGTAAATTTTAGGCTATATTATCTAGTATGTAGAGGCTTGATTCAAATATTTCAGGATTTATTTTGGTCCATGTAGAATTGTTGAAAGATTTAGGCTAGAAGGAACTTCTGGAAGTCTTGTAGCCCAGCCCACAGCTCAAAAAGGGCTGACTTCAGCATCTGTGTCATAAGACAGTTATGGTGGGAGGACAAAGCAATTAAGCTTTTAGCTTAAGTTACACATAGCAATGTGAATTTTTCAGAGAAACTTGTACTAACTGATGTTGAATAAAGCTTCCATGATATGTTTAGTGTAAAATACTGTTCTTACGAAAGATGTAGAAAAAATTGTTTGATAAATAAGGGTACCTTTATGCACCTTTTGACCCATTGTAATGCCCCACGCACCCTTAATGCTCATCCACTTCATGCATGACTTTTTCTGTCCTGCTGCTTTGGGACTGTGCACACAGTGAAGCCTCTTTCTAGAAGGAGCTGACACTTCAGTGACTTCTGTTCCTCTATTCCAGCCAGGTCCATTTTCCTTCATGGTTTTCATGTGGTATCCTGAGTGTGCTGCTCAGCTTGCCTACAGCAGTTCTGATTTGTCTTCCCAGTTACTCCCAGTTCATTGAACACTGTGCGTAGCTGCCATATTTAATCCCACCTTTGGCGGGAAGCAGGGTACAGACTGTCAGCAGCTTTCTCTACTGAAGAAGTCAGCAGTACAATCGTGTCAGGCCTGCTGAATTATTTCAGTTCTTATTCTGCTGAAGTCAATTGACTTTACACATAGGTCTCTCCTGTTCGTAATTAGATCTACACTTTTCAATTAAATGGGAAGAAAAAAAATTTTAGAAGTTTCTAGGTGAAATGCATGAGGAAATACTTGCATTGGAAGTTGGAACACCTTTGAGAACTGCTTCAATGTTTCCTGATCTGCCTGTTTAAAAAAACCTTGGTTATAAATTAACTTCTATAAAGGCAGAAGTATTTGCACTTGACTTATCCACAGTCTGTATTGCCAAATATTTGAGACAATTTCTGAAAACTATTTATTCTCTTTTTAACAAGGTTTGTTGATGTCTGCAATCACAGTCATTATCCTTGTGTTATATTTTGTAATTGATACCTTCTGGATTCAGAAGAGACCTTGGCTTGCTGAATGTACACCAATTTATATTCAGTATTTTGTGAAGTTCTTCATTATTGGAGTTACAGTCTTGGTGGTGGCAGTACCAGAAGGTCTTCCGCTTGCAGTCACTATATCTCTGGCTTACTCTGTTAAGGTAAGCGGATAGATGTGGAACAGATTTTTAAAGGTAGGTGGGTGTATCCATCAGCTATAAAATCTCAGTTGAGACATTCTGCATCACACATACATAACAGACTGGGGAGGAGTGTTTCTTGTTTCCCTGAACAGTGTAAGAAATCCACCACAGTATTTTTCTTAATCTCTGATTACACATCAACATGAACAGTGAGCAGTGACAGCATGTTGTCACAAACTAAAGATGAATGAGTTTAGCTCATAACATTGTAGCATTTGCTTATAATAAATAGTTGTTAGAGTCAAACTCTTCTGTAAACCTGGACTTCTACCCAACTGATGTGTTAAGCAACTACTACAAAAGTTTCCAGATTGATTCTCCTTGAGGACTGAATATTGTCAAACATAGAGCTTTCTGTTTATTATACAGCATGGTTTTTAACTCATGCTCTTTGTTCTCTTAATTTTCTTGCTGCTTCAGCATGCTGGGATTGGTCATTGATCTGAAAACCTAATTGTAGAGACAATGGCTGTTTAGGCTGTGTTCTAAAACTTAATAACTTACAGCACTAACTAGTAGAGGCCTTAGTATGATATCGTTTGAAGTTACTCTGCCTCTTTGAGGTTAAAATACTATCCAAACCTGTTAAGTAAAGAATTTAAAGCAGTATTTAACCTGGAAACTTGTGTAGTCCTCGCTGTCTTAGCTGAAGCAGACTCCCAGTTTGTATTTAAGTCTGACTCTAGCATCTTTGAAATATATATCAACTGATCCTTGGATAAGTCTGTATCACAGCTTACTTGATCTTTCTTGTAAGCAGAAAGACTTCTTTTAATGTTATATCTGGTCAAGCTCAGCCTGTACCTCTCCTTTATTCCTAATTACCATCCTAAACTATTTGCTCATTAACAGTCTGAATAGTATCGGTAGTCAGTGTGACATACAATTACAGGAGATTAAGTCTGTATTTATGAACCTTGTTCAAAATGAAGTTTACCGTGTCAAGATAGACTTAAAGGAATCTTTACGGAATGTGGCAGCTACAGATTCTTCCTCTGTAAGATGCCAGATAACTTAAAGGCTAAGTGTCTTTGAAAACTGCTGTGTAAGACTGGACACCCTAAATGAGAATTTCTAAAATGTGAAGTAATGGTCACGGATGGCTGTTGACTGCTTTTATTTCCTTAGAAAATGATGAAAGATAATAACTTGGTGAGACATCTGGATGCATGTGAAACAATGGGCAATGCAACGGCTATTTGCTCAGATAAAACGGGAACATTGACGATGAACAGAATGACAGTGGTCCAAGCCTACATCAATGAAAAACATTATAAAAAAATTCCAGAACCAGAAGCTATTCCAGAGAAAACTATGGCTTACCTTGTGACAGGAATTTCTGTTAATTGTGCTTATACTTCAAAAATACTGGTAAGTGGATTTCTTCATTCTAATCAAGGTAACTAAACAACTTCCTCAAATTGTCTGGTGGCCACATGGTAGGCAGTTAAGCGTAAGTGTGTGGCAGTACGCAGTGTAAGGTATTTTGTACCTGCTGTAAATTGCTCAACCGTTCATTTGAGACTAAACTTCAAAAATAACTTATTTCAGTTAGAACTGATAATTTAGGTTTTGAACTGATAATTGAAAGATACAATTGCAGAAAGATAACTTCCTTTAAGTTCACAGTTTTGTCTAAATTTGTTTTTATAAGTGGGGCTGCTTACCTTACGCCAAGAGCATCTTGGCTCGATTTGAGTGCTACTTCAAAGTAAACATGTTAAGAGTAGCATAACATTAGCTAGAATGTAGTAAGAAAATGCAAGTATAGATGAGGATTTTGATGGATTTTTATTCCAAATACTGTTGTATGAGTTTGTAGGCTTTAGAATTGTAACATCTTTGCTCATACCTTGTTTGAGACTTCCAAAATATTTTGAAATAAAAAGAATAATGGACTGTTACACATTTTAAATACAGTGCTATTTAGCACTTTAATGTGCATAATTTTCTGCAACTCTGAACATAGCTTCCTTGCTGTGGTTATTCCAAAGTGTTGCATATCTTATATTCTTTAAGGCAATAAAAATAATAATTAGGATTTAGCTTTAAAAAATAAACTAGCACTTCAAGACTTAGTAGAAGCCTCCACTGTGAATGCTTTGTACAGGAATAGCAGTAAAACCCCCAGTCCAAAAGCTACTTGTCAGACAATAAAGATGCAAGAATGTCCCCATTAGCAGTACTTGAGGCAGCACATCCAGATCACCAGCACAGGTTTCTCTGAAACAAGACTGAAATACTGCTAATGTGAGGTCTATTTTCTAAAGATCGTTTTATAGAAAGAAAAAAGGTAGCTGCCTGTAAACTGACCAGGTCCCTTTACTACTACCATTTTAATCAAATTACATCCCATGCAGTCAGAGTTATTCTGTTACACAGAATCGCAGAGGGCTGAAAGGCAGCTCTTGAGATCCTCTGGTCCAAACCCCTGGCTCAAAGCAGGGTCAGCCAGACCACGTTGCTCAGGGCTACGCCCGGTCAGGTTTTAAGGATCTCAAAAGATGGAGACTCTGCAACCTCTGGGCAACCTGGTCAAGTATGTGACCACCCTTAGAATAAAAAGGTGTTCCCTTAGGTTCAAATGGAATTTCAAGAGTTTGAGTTTGTTCCCATTGCCTGTTGTCCTCTCACTGGGCAGTGCTAACAAGTCTGGCTTGGCAGTCTTTACGGTTGCTCCACCTGCCTGCCCCATTCAGGCATTTAATACCTAATACCGAAAGTTTCTCCCCCTGAACCTTCTTGTGAGAAACATTCACCTATGTAGCTTTTAAGAGAGGACAAAGTCTGTGAAGCAAAGCTTTATTTCAACACTGGGTGCACGGGAGATCACCTCCATGATCCTCCTGCATGCACACTGGTTAGTCTAACTTCCACAAATTTATTTAGGACAGTCATTCATATTCATGTCATTTCCCAGAAGTATTATACATATTTAAATGATTTCCCCGACGTTATTTACATCTATACCCTCCCACTTGCGCCTGCGCACTGTTCTCTAGGGGTCTTCTTTGGGGGTCGTGGGGTGAAGGCTCAAAGTCTTCCTCTCGGTTGAACTTCTTATTCCGACACCTGTGCTCTATTGTTTCAGCTACATTGCAAACCCAAGTTGACAGGTAATCCTCTCTTTCATATAAGGGCGGGAATGTGACATCCAGGTAGAGGCTGATCATGGCTAAGATAAGTGGTGTCAGCCAAAGCAACTTAACCCTATACCCAAATACACATTACCCTGTCTCCGTCCCCATACTTGGGTACCTGGAAACTTACATTCTTTCCAACCGCCTGTCTACTATGACTTAAGCAAAACTACAATATTTATCACATTCTCCTCTCCAGGCCGAACAGTCCGAGCTCTCTCAGCCTCTCCTCATATGTCAGGTGCTCCAGTCCCTATATCATCTTTGTGGCCCATGGCTGGGCTTGCTCCTGGATGTCCATGTCTCTTGTACTAGGGAGCCCAGAACTGGACATCTCAAACTGCACATTAAAGGGAACATTTTGAAAGGGGGAGTGTTCAGTACAGCCAAATCCAAGATCTTGCAGCTCTGAACAATGAAAATGGATGGCTGAGTTATGATCGATATAGTTCAGCTCTAGCTGCTTGAGGCAGGTCAGGCTGAGGAAGTGCTTCTGCCTTTTTTGCTAGAAACTATACTACATTGTTATAGCAATATAAGCTCAGAAATGGCTTGGGAAATACTCCTTTTTACTTATAGCACTAGTATGTGCATATTCCACATGATTGAGATAAGAAACTTATTCTGGTATTAAAGGGTTGGAAACTTGTTTCTGAACTCTTTCCGGTTAAATAGGCCATGGCCTGGAAAACGGAACTTGTAGCGAGACTTAAGAAGCTTAAAGACTTAGGTTGTTCAGTAGAAGGCTAACAGGTGATGTGATCGTAGTCTAAGTCATTGAGGAAGAGTTATTACAGGAGAGGATACTTTAATTTAGCAGAAATAATACCATTCAGCTTGCTTAAATCTGTTTACTTAAACTTATCTGTGCTTCTAAAATGCAAAATAATTATTCAGGGACTACACTCAATTGATCAGATACTTCAAGCAATGGAAAATGCCTTTTAGAAAGGTCATGTTGGGATTCAATACAAACTTAATGGGGGATTTTTGAGTCTGAGAAAGGGACTGAAAGATCCTAAACAGGTACAGAAGAAGTTACTTACAAAAGCCAGCAGTATGACTCAGACTCATAGAAATTTATGGAGTAATTATTGCAAAAGTGAAAATTCCCCATCCCAGAGCTAAGCTTCGCCTTAGCTTCCTTGTGTTCTAAGTGCTGTACTTGTGTGGTTCATAAGTTAACCTCCTAATCAGCAAAGGTTCTTGTTCTTCTTGCAGCCTCCTGAAAAAGAAGGTGGCCTACCACGTCATGTTGGAAATAAAACTGAATGTGCCTTGCTGGGATTGCTCTTGGATTTAAAACGTGATTATCAGGACGTAAGAAATGAAATACCAGAGGAGGATTTGTACAAAGTGTACACCTTCAACTCTGTTAGAAAATCTATGAGTACTGTGTTAAAAAACTCTGATGGCAGTTTCCGGATATTCAGTAAAGGTGCCTCTGAGATAGTTCTTAAAAAGTAAGAACAACTACTATTGTAATTTAGCACTTAAATTTGCTTAAATGTTGTGATAAGAGAGGAGACCAGAGTGCTAAACAACATGGTGCTGTAGTCATCAGTGAAATATTTCCTATTCACAAACAAGTGCAGCAGTCCTATACCCGTCTGATTGCAGCCGCCTTCCCAGCTTGTCTCCCTCAATTGTTTGACTTTCTACAGTAAGATGGGCAATTAGCATTTCAATTACTTTAATTCTCACACCCCAGCCCTGCCCTCCAAAAAAGAGCCGGTCATGATTAATTTTAACTTGCGAACTCTACTCTGGTACAGGAAAGCATCTATGAACTGATCTATTCTCTAGTTAAATTGTTTTAGCTTTAGGTGTGGTTGGTGAAAATGTTCACCCATCTTTGGTAAAGTCTCAACAGTTGATATGCCTAAATTCCAGGACGGATTTGTGCCTTTGAAAAGTGATTACTTTTAGCTTCAAAAGTCTGTGCAAGTTGATGTCCAAGGTGATAATTTTAACAGGAGGTTAAACTTGGGCAATGGAGAAACTTGAGGGGTTTTAATGTGACAAAGCAAATTGCTTCCTTATCCATCTGCCTATCTATAGAGGATTTATTAGAATGAGATTAGACTGTTAGCGAGAGATTAGTCACCACTGGGACAAACCTTTAGGTGTGAAGAAGGCTGTGGTAACTCCTAACTAGGTGAGGAGAGAAGTCAAGCATGTATGCATCATGTTCTGTAGGAACAGCAGTTGTAGCCAGTCTGGTTTTGGTTCTAACGTCAGACTATTTCTAGTCGTGAGTAGTGCATACGTTATGTTCAGTTTACCTTTGTACTTGCTACTAGCCCCCCAAATCACTACCTAGGAAAGTACTAATGCACTAAAGAAAAAAGATGAAATCTTGCTTCTCCTCAGCTTGGTACTGCTGACAACAAAAGGTCATTCTTTAAAGGATTCTGGCTTCTTTTGGTACAGAACTTGGATTTAGATGTGAATTTTTTCATATCTAGATTTTAAGCCAAGTCTCATCAGTGAATACGTATGCCTATATTTGCATTTCTTCTACCTTCAGAAGTATTTTGTACCTTATTATCTTATTGAGCAATTGAATTGTAGAAGTTGCTAGAACTCATTCAGCCCAGACTCGTGTGGTCCACTTGGCTTCATAACTAAGATAAGAAAATAAATAATAAGGCCATTTGGCAAAGAACAAGAAAACCTAGACTGATTTGGATACTATTGGAATGGTTGTAATTCCAAAACTATTTCAGAGTATGCACTGACTAGGAAAAAAGTCTTAGCATTACAAGCCACTTTCTTTACCCACTACCTATGCAGTGCCAGAAATTAATCTGAGAGCTTGTAGCCTGGTTTGTCAATTGTGCTGCTCGTTCGTTATTATAACATGTATGAATATTCTTCAGCACTGAAAGCTTAAACATGAATATTTATAAGACATAAATGAGTCACTAATAGGTGTAGAAGAAATGCAGCAAACTTTTTGAAGCAGAGCAGTTTTATTCTTCTTTCCTTGCCATCAAGTCAAATATTTGAAGTGAGTTTCAATGAAATCTTTACATAAAGCTTATTGGCTTCCATTTAGTCATCTTGGAATGCTTTGAATTTATCACAAGCCCTATGATTCCAGGTTACACAAGATATCCTTAGTGGTTGCTGATGTTTGAACAGATAACCAAAATCAGGAAATTCAGATAGGCTTTAAATTTCAGTTATGATTAATACTATGAAGCTTTAAGCTTCGTTTTCATTTCCTGGCTGAGTTGGAAACTTTTTTCTATGTATTACACCTGGGAATTCCCTAAACACTTAAATGTAACAGTAGTCATCTTAGCAGGTCTGCCAAGTCTGAAACTGATATTTTAAAAAATTCTTTTTTTCCTCAGTGCCAATTTAGTACTAATTTGTAAAACAAATGTTTATGGTGTTGCTTTATGGCAAAACTTTGCTAAGAACGCAGATGAACAAAACTAAATCTATTGTTCAAAATATTTGGTGGTGTTATATTCATGGCATCAATATTGGTTAAGTATGTATGCTGTCTGTGAAAGCAGTGGCATATTTGGCATGAAGAAACATAACTAAGAGCATGTGTTTGAAATACTTGAGTACATAGCGTTGAATCTAGTCTCTTATACAAATGTTTAAATCAGATTTAAGTATTTGTTTTTAATTTAATACTTCACATTAAGAACTCTATGCCAGATGATCTCTGAATTCTCTGCACTTAGATTTGGGGGCAAACCTTACTACTTTTAAGGATAGCAGTACCAGAGTTTGCTTTTAGTGCTGTAAGTGCTTACAGCTGTTTAAGCACCACATGCGTGTTCTGGAAGCGTACTGTACTTCTGAGACTTGTATAACTGTTAACAAGGTGGGATGATTTTGTTGAACTTGAAACTGGAGTGACTGACTCAACCAGCACAGACACCAGTCTGTTTACATACAATGGAGAAGTGGATACTTCTGGGAGGTAACTAATGTTTGTGTCCTAAATTCATTGGGCATTATGTTCATCCTAGGATGACTGGCTCGGTTAACTTTCTACAGCTACTGTATTTTGCAATTTTGGGAAGAGATTAAGTGCATATGGAGAAGATTATCTTAGAGATGCTGCTGCTGGCTTTTTGCCTGTGTGAGTCTAGTGAAAACAAAGCTTGTGGAAACTCATTGGAGTTCACTATTAAGCCATTGAATGGGCTGAACTTCTGGTTAAAATCTGATAACTCTTTAAACCTTCCTTTTCAGGTGCTTCAAAATACTGAGTGCTAATGGAGAACCAAAGGTATTTAGACCTAGGGACCGCGATGATATCGTGAAAACGGTAATTGAGCCAATGGCTTCTGAAGGGCTCAGAACCATCTGCCTGGCGTTCAGAGACTTCCCAGCAGGGGAACCTGAGCCAGAATGGGACAATGAAAATGATATTGTTACTGGTCTGACGTGCATTGCTGTTGTTGGGATTGAAGATCCTGTGAGACCTGAGGTAGGGTCACCAACTGAACTGCAGCGATTCTGTTACAGCAGATCTTGATTCATGTTGTTGTTTGTCATGCAGAGAGTACAAGAAACTAAATTGCTATTTTATGCCTTAAGCATAGCTGATAAATGAAAATCTAATTTCTTGGAGGGAAAGTTAATGGAGCTATAAAAGCAGATTAAAAGTTCTTAATGTCACTTATGCTGTGTTACTGAAGCTCTGTACAAACTAATGACTTAAGGCGCTTACTGTGCAAGGTCCCAGTAGATGGAAGAACTTGTCGTGGTTTTTTTTTTACCACTTTGAATATTGGGAGTATTGGTTAGGATAACGTTAGCCATTGTGCGTGTTACCAGCTTCTCACGGGGAATGGTGGAAAGGAGGGTTTGTCACCTGAGAACGGCGGTAAAGAGTCCGGCTTGTGGTTGAGGTCAAAGGAGAGCAGTACTTTTCAATAGTGAAAGCTTTTATGCCACACGTAAGTGGAACTCCAGTCTGATCTCCACTGTCGTTGCTTCACACTACAAGTCATGGGTGAAGTAGTGGACTGTGAGCTGCAGTTTATTTCACATAACCATAAATGAAAAGCCAGTACTCGGTACCTTTGAATACTACAGCCTAATATGTCATGAGGATTTTTGTGGTATTTTTGAATGCTGTGGTATTTGAAAAACGAAAGAGGGGCGGGACAGGGACATGACATAACAACAATAAAGCCTCTTTGCCAGAATTGCCATTGGTGTGTGTTTTTCATGAAAAGAATTGTGGTAAGCTACTTAATTTTTTTTTTTTAAAATGTTCCATAACAACTGTCATGGTTTTAAGATAAGGATTTTCCTGGATTGAGTCAAAAACATTCCTTTCACTCACATATCTAGATTTATTCAGCTAACGTACAGTCTCTGAGCCTGTGTTTTTGTTTTTTTTCTTTGTGTTTACTTACAGGTACCTGATGCAATAAAAAAGTGTCAACGTGCAGGCATAACTGTACGTATGGTCACTGGCGATAACATTAACACTGCTCGTGCTATTGCATTAAAATGCGGTATTCTGAATCCTGGTGAAGACTTCCTGTGTTTAGAGGGAAAAGACTTTAACAGGAGAATACGCAATGAAAAAGGAGAGGTAAGCATACTGACTATATAAGGTAGATCAGCAGATATTCTGAGTCTCTGAACTGTAAAATATAACCAGTGCTCTTTTTGCAGATAGAGCAAGAGCGAATAGATAAAATTTGGCCAAAGCTTCGTGTTCTTGCAAGATCTTCTCCCACTGACAAACACACTCTAGTAAAAGGTAAGTAAAAGCTATCTGAGCTTATAAGTAAAGCTAGGTTTATTTTTTTTCTGTGCAGTGGGAAATGCCTATGAGGGTGACTTCATTTGCCACCAGGATATTTTTTTTTCTGCTTGAAAAATGCAGCCAACTAGAACTATCTGTTGTGGATTTGGGAGGGGGAGTGGGTTGGTTAGGGTTTTTTTTAATGACCAAAAAAATTTTGTCTCCCTAGGAGACGACGACTGGCTTTCTCTTTCAGGCTTAATCTGTGCTGTGTTGTCAATTTTGAACGTAACACCAAGATGTCATTTTATTTTAGGCATAATTGACAGCACTGTCTTTGAACAGAGGCAAGTTGTAGCAGTAACTGGTGATGGTACCAATGACGGTCCTGCTCTGAAGAAGGCAGATGTTGGATTTGCTATGGTATGATTTTTTTTTTAATCTTCAGTATTTTGGAGACCTATTTTGGTAAAATAACTGGTTAAATCACTTGAAGATTAAACAGCCTTGTTGGTTTCATGAGTCTAATATACAACTAAGTTAATGGAGTCAACATCTCTCACACTTAATGCTAGTTACTTTTTCCTTCTTCCTCAGTCTTCCAACTTGACCATGTTTTTATTTGTGTCCTTGTGGCATTTGCCATTAAATGAAACTTAAAAACCACAAACCCCTCAGTCACTTGCAAATCAAAACCTCTTTATTTGTTGCAAAGTGTAAAAACAGAATTACTGATATTGAGATTTCTGAAATGAGATCTGTTCAACGTAAGGCAAAATTACTTTCGATCGTAAATAGCATACCATGTTGACTTTGAGTAAACCTTATACACAATATGGTATGAGCTTATTCATCTGTTTTTCATGAAACGATGCATAGGAACAGGGAGACTAATGAGAGAGACTGCCAGTTGATGTTTAAAATGGCTTTGGAGGCTATACTAAGAGAGATCTCTAGTACAACTGAAGTAACAGTATTTTATGACAATCTAGGATCTGTATTTGTCTGGATGGTTCCTTGGATTACTTGGCTTTCTCAATTTAAATTCTCGGCCACCATTTCAAATGGTAGCCAAACCAAGTCTTGGCTTTAAGTGTTAATTCTAGATAGACTCATGCCTTAAGTATGTAGGCTTCAGCTTTCTTCTGTCTCTTTTAAAACACTGTAAGATAGATTCCTCAGGCTTCCTCTTACCTCAAAGTTCCTCCTCAGTCTTCAGCTGAAGAGATACAGTTTGGTGCTAGTAGGTCACTTTAGTCTTTAAAAACTCATTATTAAGCATTTGAAGGGGAAAAAAGAGACCACTTTCCTCCTACACCATATGCAGATGCACTGACTGAGATGCTAATCTTGAAGGAAAAAATGGGAAGAGGTTTCGTGTCATTATCGAGGAGCATTTTTCAAAAGCATGACTTAGAAATTTGACAGCTACACATGAAATGTTCTCTAGACTGCAACAGTCTTGTTTTAACGAGTACCTGTTTTCTGCTATTGTATAACTGATGTAGTTGGCACTGTTGGGGCAGATTCATTTTAATCTTCCAGAATTTAAATGTTTCCTCCAGTTGCTGTCTTTGTTCATCTGTGTAAGAAACTAATTTCTCTAATTGCTTATCTAAATAGCACTTACAATATACCATCTACTACGTGATATTTAAAGGTAACTTTTAAGGTGTACACATAGCTGTGCAGGCGACTAATTTCCTTGGCAAAATAATGTATCAAGAATAAGGATCATTACATTTGCTATTGAGTTAGTGGTTTTGAAATGCCGAAAGCAAAATAAATAGCCTGGAAGTAGGTATTACACAGAACTCAGCTTAACTGTTAGCATACTGTAAGAGACTACTGGTGCTTAAAGCTGAAGAATGTCATATTGCATTGCAGTGTCATATGCAATGACATTGCATACTCTACTGTTTAATGCCAATGCTCTTTTGCAAAAGGTTTTTTGGTAATGTGTATCCTTCTGCTGTGTTATAAACACATGCATTGCTGGAATCCATACAGCAAACTCGTTAGGACATAGACTGACCGTTAGTACTGCACCATCTGGTGGCCTTTGACTTAAACAGGGTTCAGTAACATTTCTTTGGGAGAACTTACACAGGGTCTTTATTGTCAACTTGAGGATTTTTATTAAGGTCTTTAAAATAAAGACAACATTACCTTTTTTTGTTTACATTTTCCTATGCTTGAGCAGAACGTGCAAGCAGAACTTGATTCAGTAGAACTTCAGGTGCTTACATTAGAATAGTCCTTCAGACATGGTTCATCAAAGTGAATGCTGACCAAGGACATAATAACAGCGTCTATTACATAAGTCAGTGCATCCTGTTATATTTCATAGTGTTTTTCTTTTTCTACCAGGGTATTGCTGGAACCGACGTAGCTAAAGAAGCTTCTGATATTATCCTTACAGACGACAACTTCACAAGTATTGTTAAAGCAGTTATGTGGGGACGAAATGTGTATGACAGCATCTCCAAATTTCTTCAGTTCCAGCTTACTGTCAATGTAGTAGCAGTAATTGTTGCTTTTACAGGAGCATGCATAACACAAGTACGTACTGGTGGTGCATTGTTTCAGCTAATAAAGGTTGAAAATGTCATTGAATTCAAACTTTCAGTTAAATACTAGTCCAAAGAACATAATGCTCTTCAGAACATGCCCATGTTGTATAATAAATGCTTTTAATAGCTGCAATTTGTTCACTTATATTGGAGGGTTTATGTATCTATCTTTATAGGATTCTCCGCTTAAAGCTGTGCAGATGCTGTGGGTAAATCTCATAATGGACACATTAGCTTCTCTCGCCCTGGCAACAGAACCACCCACTGAAGCTCTTCTGTTACGAAAGCCTTATGGTAGAAACAAACCTTTGATTTCTCGTACAATGATGAAGAACATCTTGGGTCATGCATTCTACCAACTCGTAGTGGTCTTTACGCTCCTGTTTGCTGGTAAGAATACTGAAGCTTTACAAAGTTATTCTAAAAGTCATAGAGAGATGCGATCTTAAAACTAGTTTTTTGTTGTAGTGTGTGTGTGTGTAAAGACACCAATTAAACTGCTGATAAATGCCTTTTATACACAGGTGAGAGAATTTTTGATATCGATAGTGGAAGAAATGCACCTCTGCATGCTCCTCCTTCAGAGCATTATACTATTGTATTTAACACATTTGTGATGATGCAGCTTTTTAATGAAATTAATGCCCGAAAAATTCACGGTGAAAGAAACGTTTTTGAAGGAATCTTTAACAACGCTATCTTCTGTTCTATTGTTCTGGGGACATTTGTTGTGCAGGTAAGTAAATTCTTGGAGCGTGGCGGGGGGAAATGCACTTAGTACACTGATGTACTTGCTTACCTTGGAAATGATAATCCACTGGTGCCAGGCATTTCCCTTCTGCAGTGTGAAAAACCTACAGTGTCAAACATGCTATAAATCACTTGGAAGTGCCACTTGACAGGGTTTTGAGGTAAGACCTCTTTGAAATTGGTAAAATTGGAATGTAGGAGTACTTGTATTTACCTTTTGAATTTTCTAGTCCTTCAGTTTGATCTTAGTGTTCTAGTCTTTTGGCAAAATGTGAAGAAGGTGTATGTTCCTCCCCCTAGTCAGAACTCTTCTTCATAGTATCTGCCTGTGCATCTGAACGAGAGCCCATTTAAACAATTATAGAAAAGTTACAACTTCTCATAGCTTCTTAATGAGATTAGGACATGAATAAGCTTTTGAAACTGAAGTATCAGTTTTTATCTTCCTGATGCAGAAATCAGTTATCTGTATTGGTATATATTTTACAGTTGTCTGTATAGATGCTGCTGTTTTAGGTGAAAAACACGGATGTTTAGGGATCTTCTGTTGGTGCTTCTAGGCAGATTTGTAAAAGTTAGTTAGTTAATTCAGTATATGCTAACAAATTATCTGAAATTGATTGGGTTAACGCACTGATGTTGGAAACACCAAGTGAAAACTGAATCTAAAGAAAAGAGAAATAGTTTCACCTTCTAAATGGCCTTAACTTTTAATTCATCAGAAAAAATAACCAACAAATCTTTATACTACTTTTTTTCAGAACTCTTTTTCATTTTGACTTATTTCAGACTTAAGATACAACCTACGCCTTAAGCTTATCTTTAGACTTGGGATTCCATGAAGCTGACCAAATTCATAGCAGTTGAAGCAATGCCAATGCTTCACGTAAAGTTAGTTCACTTTTTCTCCCAGGTTTAGGGTTTCGGTTTGTTTTTTTTTTTCAGATGGCACTTCTTCAGCAACCACTCTTATTTTTAGGGTTGCATATGCAGCAGACTGACTGTTGTTGTGCAGAAAAGCCAAATATGTAGAAATTACTTCTGACTACAACTGCGTTCCTTTTATAAACTTGGTGGACTGAATGCCTTCCCAAATAAGTAACTTCTGAGTTGTCGTCTCAGTGTTTTATTCTGTGTTAATAAAAGAAGATACTCTCGGGCTTTTCAGCTGTCAGGTGTCCTACTTAATGGTCAATACTGTCTCCTTTTCACGCCTGCCCTGCTACTTGAATTGTTGATTCTCCAGGGCAGACTTTCATGCATATAATCCCTATGCAGAGGGATACCTTGCTCATTAGGGCCTGTACAGCTTGTTGTAATAGGTAAGTCGGTAAGAGCTCATTTAATTTAGCTTTTGAGATCTATGCCCCCTCCTCCCAAGACTCACTACATAGATGTAACACCATGATGATTTACACTGATCATTTAACACTGATGGGATAGACAGTAGTATTCTGTTGAATTTTTTTGAAATGTTTCATATCTTGTGGATCTATGACTTGTATTAATACGAGGTTATAATCAACTTGGTTCTGAGGTGGGTTTTCATATGATAAATAATGACTGTAAACTTGTAGCATCAAATACGTGCTGTAATTGTGTAATGAAGGGAAAGAACTGCAAGTGAAATAGTCAGCAGGTTTTTTGTGAGTGTGACATTTGAAGAATAAATAGGTAGTTCTTGAAATACTGAAAAGCATAAGAAGATGGCTTAGGTTTGGAAACCTGCTCAAACCACTGAGACAGTGGCAGTGTATACATAATAAGATGGGAAATCCTATGTTCTAATGCAGAGTTGCCTGTAGTGATCTTGAAGCATTAGGGAAGTTTCTGGTAACAGGTCACCAATAGATGTTGTTTAATGATGTTGCTTTTCACAGATAATTATTGTGCAGTTTGGTGGGAAACCTTTCAGTTGCTCCGAACTCTCGATTGAACAGTGGCTGTGGTCCATTTTCCTGGGCATGGGAACACTACTCTGGGGCCAGGTAAACTAGCTTTTTCAAAATGCGAAATATCTACTTGCATTAGAATACTTTACATGGAAAATACAAATACGCTATGTTTAGCATTGAGATCTTTCAAGTGGACTACATGAATATATGGAGATTAACAGTAAATACTGATTAAAATTGACTAGTTCAATAGCTAGAAAGTCCTTAGTTGGATATCCCTTGCTCTGACTTGGTCAATTAGTTACATTTCATAACTAGATGCTATGGCTGGTTTGTGTTTAGTAACTTTGAACTAGAAGCAGCTGTAGTTACCTTTTAAATATGAAATTATATGTCTAGTCAGATAAGTACTAGAAAAAGTTCTGTAAGAACAGAGATGCAATGAACATGTTAATGTTGAAATATATCTAATTTAGTATTGAATGGTTTTCTTGAAAAAAACAGAATTGAACTTGCTAGTGGTTTTTTGACTTAAAAACTTTCTGGAGTAGCAAGAAATGTAGCAAAACTCAAACCAGCTTTCTCTGATCTTCATTTGCATAATTACAAAATAATTGGAAAGTTCTCCCACCTATTAAGATAATTGCATTTTGATTTTTATTCTCCCCCCTCCTGCCCCTTAGGGTTTCATTACTATTGCATGCACAACAGTGCTTGTAAGCAGCAAGCTTATTTACATGAAACTTTAGAGCTATGGAGTTTTCCATTATTTAATGACATAGTTGTCTAAACTCTTCATACCACATGAAGAGTTTTCCATTACAGTTTCTTTCCCTCCGTTTTGTAAAGGACACTTCAGGTTTCAGTATAAAATTAGTAGGGTGAATTTTAGTTGTAAATACATACATAGATGCATATTCTAAAAGTGGGTATAAGCTGTTTAATAAGGTTCTCTGGAAAATTAATTATTAAAAAAATCAAATAGAGTCACTCTGAGGTTTAAAAGTAGTCTAGAAGAGAATTGAGATGGCTTGAAATACCTTTGACCCAAAGTGTCTTGCAAGGGCAAAGCTTCCCTGCTGCAGTTCATGCTGCTCTAGCATCTCATTAAAGTCAAAGAGCTTTTGACTTTCTGAGAATAGCAGAAACAGAAGTGTGATCTGGGAGCATTCATAGTAGCAATTTCAGTGTAAAGGGCTGTTTATCTTGCTTTTGGAGCAGTCTTTTTCCTCTGCAGCTGCCGAAATGGTCTTCTAGGTTTGTGATGATCAAGGAGAGCAGTCTTGGAACTGATCTGGATCTGCTAGATGGGACTTATCAAAAGATGACACCCTTTAACTACATAGTTCATCAGAATAGCCCTGAAGGTGGGGATGAAAAGGAAAGCTGGAACGGCCATATGTAGCTTTTGTTTAGTTTAAGATAGATGAACTAGTGTATACCAAGTAGCAAAGTAACAGTTTGGGATAAAGGTTTTGGAAACATCACTCCCCTTGCAAATGGACCGATACTTTCCAGGTCACAAAAGAATGCATGTCTGTTCTGTATTTCTGAATTAACTGTGGCTACTTTAATTAAATGATGTAGTTCTCACTTGAGGTAACACGTTATACTCATCAAACTGATGGAGCTCTAAAAGCTCTAGATACAAGCACAATCTGCAGAATGAATGGCTCTTGTAGCTTTGGTACTGCTCCTTCCTGGCATAGTCAAGTAATGTTCAAGTGGAATTCTTTGTCCCTAGCAAGGACGTTTTGTTTTCTAGGTTTGCAGTCCAAGTTTAATTTCACACCTCGGTTGAGGTGGTAAGGATATTCACAGCTTTGCAGCTATTCAGCTGGAGTAATCAGTCTACATTGATGCACTCATGCCATTTACATAATTTGTTTTTTCAACTTTGCTAATTGTATGCAGGATATTCTGTTAAGCCTTAAGTCTGGTATTACATTTATTTTTTTTTTTTTTTTTAAAAAGAATAATCCTGATTCATATTTCTTCATTCACCGTTAGCTGATTTCAACAATTCCAACCAGCCGACTGAAATTCCTTAAAGAAGCTGGTCATGGAACACAGAAGGAAGAGATTCCTGAAGAAGAACTAGCAGAAGATGTAGAGGAGATCGATCATGCTGAGAGAGAATTACGTCGTGGTCAGATCTTGTGGTTTAGGGGCCTAAACAGGATACAAACTCAGGTATGGTCTTGGAAAAAGGTAGGATGAAGTGGGTGTTACGAGGGAAACCTCTCCATCTCCGGTCCTTTGACTAAGATTGCAGTTCTTGCTGGTGTGACTGAGACTGTCAAAAGGGGGTTTGGATGGATGTGATATCCCTCAGGGTCCTCTGTTTTCTTCAGCTCTAAATGCAACTCTTGCCTGTGTATCTGCTCTATAAAAAAAAAAAAGTGCCTTTTTTCTTTACTTTTTGTGTGTTATAGATGGGATGGTCCTTTCTCTTGTTTTCTCTCTCTCTCTTGCTGAGCAAGCTGTCACAATCTCTGATTCCTTGCAGATGGATGTAGTGAATGCTTTCCAGAGTGGAAGTACCATTCAGGGGGCTCTAAGGCGGCAACCCTCCATCGCCAGCCAGCACCATGATGTAACAAATATTTCTACCCCTACACATGTAGTGTTTTCCTCTACTACTGCTTCTACTACTGTGGGGTGTGAGTGTGTGTTCCTAAAGTGCATGAAATTAACATTTCCTAATTCACGTACCTAACGTTTCTCATTTTCTCCTTAGTACTTAAAATCATCGTTCAGGCTTTTATAGAGCTCTTCCACAAAGTGGAGTCCTCAAGACTTTTTTTTCTTAGAGGGCTGAGAACAGGTGGAACAGTTTCAACAAAAGACTTTAATGTGAAAGCTGTGAGCCTGCACATCCTGTGCCTTCATCCATTCGTGTACAGAGGGATGTTTAAGATAAAACGGGAAAACTGGTGTAAATTTTCGAGTATATGCCTCTTAGAATGACTTACATTGAATAAGTAAATTAACTGTGTAATCATGGACCCAGGTCAACAAAAATAGATTTCTTGCACTGCAGCACAAGTGATACTTAAGGTAAACAAACTGATGGGAAAGCAAATGGTATGTTAAAAAAATTAATGTAGTTAGAACATGGAGCACTAAATACATTTTCTTTTTGTAGCCTGTAAGGAACTTCTGAAGCTCTGCTTTTTTTGGACCTTTTTTACTGAATAACACAACTTTCTCAACATCAGGATTCAGGTGGTGAAGCAAGGCTTCTAAAATCCATACAAGCCAGAAGAAACATTTAATTAGCTAATACAAAAAGGAAAAAAAGGTTTAAGCATTGAATGGTGAAACTTTCATTCAAATCTGAAGGGTTTTTTTCCTCTCTAGGTTCTTCTGGCAGCAGTTCATAAGCCATCAGTGAAAGTAAAGTTTGTCTCGCCTTAATTCTGCCTTCTTTATATTGTGCCCTAAGTGCCATTTCAGTTTCAGCCTTCCTCTCTGTAGAGGCTAGAGATTTAATTACTTGTGTATGTAGGCTTAAACTCTGGAGCCTGAAGATGCATTAACAGTTGTAGTTGAATACTGATAGCTAATATGTATTGTTGAAAGAGTTTTCCATCTTAATTATATATTATGTGTTTAACTTCCTTCTTAACTTCTGAGAGACTGGTTAAATAATTGTTTTTTAAAATAACTCTGAGAGGTCTTCTTTCCCCCACCCCACTTTTTAAACTTTCAGATTACCAGATGGATGAAGACCCTTAATTTCAGGAGCTGTCTTAAGTGAAATGTTCTCTTCTGATCTTCTGATATTTTTTTTTTTTTGACTTGGCTAGAATTCCTGTGTGAGCTTGCACAAGTATTTACCTCTGTACTTGTTCTTAGTTGGTGAGACAGGTATTTCCATGCCTTGCAGTAGTAGGGAGAAGCTCAGCTCACAATTCGCATGCCTCAAGAACACAAAATGAAAAGTAGATTTAACAGTAAGGATGCACAGGATTGCATCTCCTAGTTAAAATGCTAATTAGTAACCTGTATCCCTAACTACACTCAAGAACATTCATTAGACATTCAGAATTCTCCAGAGAGCAACTTCATGCCATGCTGCCATTTGAGCAGAATCTAATGAGCACTGCAACATCTCATTGCATCAAATGACCAATGCAGATACGGAGCTACAATAGCAGAGAACTAGTTTTTGATCCTCACCAAGTAGTACAGCCTTCTGCTACACCCTCCAGGAGAACAACTTTTGATAACTAATAGGTACTAATGGGAATTTCATTGTCTTTCTCTTTTGGAGCTGTTTGTTGGAAAATAGTTCAGCTGTTCCTATGAAGTGAGGTTGCAACTCTTAAGCAGCCATCTGGCTAGGAGGATTTGGAGTGCTTACTGCATTCCTTGCTGTTCTGGTACTAATACGAGGAAGGCCTGGTGACAGGATAAATTACACATAACAAATCGTCTTGTTTGCTCCTCACTTATGCAATTTATTTATAGTTACCTCTCTCATCTAATTATCTTGAGTAGTTGAAAAGAAAGCCTTCAAAATACTAGATTTTCCCTTTTTAAGTATAACTTAAAATGCTGATAGTCTGATTTCTGCCTTCATGGCTAGATTCTTTGAGGGTCCTGGGTTCATAGGAATGTCTAGACCACTTGTTTAGTATGCATTCTGCATGGGAATCAGCCTTTATTGTGGATACACTTATATTCCTATGATAATTACAGCTGTCCTGTTAACCCAAAAATTGTTTTCCATTACTGCTTATGTTCTAACTTGCCATCTGTAAGCAATGAAAAACCAGTCCCACGAAGCAGTCATATTTCATTTTGCCACATAAATCAGTGGCACAGTGGGATGCAGCATGCCAAATAAAGGCATTGCAAACTTTCGGTCTGGCATTGTCACCGCTGATTTTCCTGGTAAGTGCCAAGACAGTTTATGCAGCTTGCTGGACTTCGTTTAAACCTGATGTAACATGCCAGCTCCTTAACAGCCTGCTCAGTTTTTTTTCGTGTGACGAACAGTAAAGTACTAGCTGCTGTTGTAATCTTTTACTTCTTCTCAAGCACGTTCACGCTATTCCCTGTCCTCCCTTTACTGGTAGTTACGTCCTCCCCATTGCGTGCGTGTCCCCCTCTGCCCCAGCCTCCGTTTTGGTGGTTCAAGGGGCTCTGCTGGGTACCCGTAGTATAAAAACAGGGACATGGTAGCTTTTGAGTAAAATTCTTTGCGTAGGTTCTCTGAGGGGGTAGGGGTGGGGGAACAACACTATTTCTAGAGGTCAAAGAACACAGCCAGGACTTAAGACTTTATCATGTGGGGTGATTCTGTGGTAATCAATTTGGTAATGCATTGCTTTTGGGGAGCCCTTCTCTGTGTTTACAGTGAGGTGGTTTGGTGTATCTTAGCTGTTTTGAAGTCTGTGCTCGTGATCTGCTTGACCTTCATTCCTTCAGCTGGAAGTCACGTTGTTTTTACTGTCAAGGAACTCTACGGAAGCACTAGTTGTGACTTATTTCTTAGCTTCAAACAGGTCATCTTGATTGTGCTAAAAAGAATCTTTAAATTGGACTTACTGTTTGTAACAGTAAGTTCTTGTTTACTACAGAGTTGCTCTGCTGCTTCCTCTACAACAGAGGAGCTTTGGGATTGAAACTGTGCTTTGCTGGAGACTTACTCAGAGTAGAGATGTTGAGAATCGAATAGGGAGCTAACAGAAGGGGGAAACTGTGTCTTGACGAAAGTGTTGGACAAAAAGGTCAGCGAGTTCTGCCTAACCTTACTTTTATCAGTTCAGGAATGAATCCTGAGTTCCTGTAGTTGGTCAGGGAGATGGGTGGGGTGTGGGAGGAGAAACAGCGCGGGCAGGTGGCTTCATCATTCAAATTACAATTTGGAAAGCTTACATTCAAGTCAACCTGAATGTGTGCAATTTGCAAAACGAAGCTGCACTTTATCTAATTTCACTCTGAAATGTTTTTTTATGAATTCTGTAAACTCAGCTTTCTGATTTGAAAATGTTAGTTAAACAATGAAAGGACTTGAAATAATACTCAGCCTGGGAGTTTTGTCCATGAATTCAGTGTAAACTGAAGACTCAAGTAAAGGCTGATCACCTGCTTTTTTTTTTTTCATACTTTGTGCTACTTGAAGAGTCTCTTCAAAGTTACAACCTGTTGTGGCTACTTAATTGTACAATACAGTACTCAGTTTCCTAGTTTTGGTCTTAAGTTTCCAAAGCACTATTCCGTAAGGAACTTGCTCTAGTGTGGTAAATGGGTATATACTCGAATATTTACAGCTGTTACAGTGGTATCGTTTTTTTGCATGACTCTTTGTAAATGTCCGGTCATTGTGACATTGGCTTACACTTGCTTGGCTTTTTCATAGTCAGTTGACATCCTAATTCCAAGCATGAGAATTAGTAACCCTTTTATCCTCTAACTTATTTTCAGCCTCTCCCCTCCTCCCCTCACCCCCCCACCTTCCCCAAGTATTCAATAAAACACTCATTGAGATTTATTTAATTTGTAAGTAAATAATTGTTGACCTCACTTCTGAAAAATGCTTAGCCCGTGTTAAATAATCGAACAATTCTAGTGCCACGTCTGAATTTTTAGGCCCTTCAGCTTTTTGCAGTACTTTTACATATATATTTTTTTTATTCCTACTGTGTAGATTGGCAGTGCTCTACTGAAATGCTCTTCATTTTTACAGTGTATTGCAAGTTCCACTGCATCACATACAAATTTGATTCACTCATGTCTAGCTGTTTGTGGATTCAAACTCATAAGAACCATGCCATTACCAGTAAATCCACAGCATTTTAACAACCTTTTTTCCCTTTGTTTACAGATCCGAGTGGTGAATGCATTTCGTAGCTCCTTGTACGAGGGGCTAGAGAAACCCGAGACACGAAGTTCAATTCACAATTTTATGACGCATCCTGAGTTTAGAATAGAAGACTCCGAGCCTCATATTCCCCTTATTGATGATACTGATGCTGAAGATGACGCTCCAACAAAACGCAACTCTACTCCCCCACCCTCTCCCAATAAAAATAACAATGCGGTTGACAGTGGAATTCACCTTACAACAGACATGAACAAGTCTGCTACCTCTTCATCCCCAGGGAGCCCGCTACATAGTTTGGAAACATCACTCTGATTGTAAGCTGAATGTTAACACACTAGCTGCATTGTAAAGAAATTGAAACTGGGTCTCTTCACACATTATGATGGACAAGATGATATTCTTGTCTCGGACTTCAACAGAAGACACACTTGTACGAATGTAGATTTATTTTTTTAAAAAACAAAAAAGCTTTCTGCCAGACTGGAGGGTGCTTTTCTGGGGGTGGGAGTAATAATGAACTCTGACAGATAAACAGTAACTCGGCATAAGTGACCTGTGGATCATCTGTTGTACTTAAGAATGGTCCTGAACGGTGTGTTAGCAGAGCTTTAGTTTATCATGATCCTTTTCTGAGGGAAGGCTGGGAAGGGCAAGGAGGCCCTGGATCATTGAGTTGATACTTTAATTTCTGCTGTTGGCTGTTAATAATTTGGATTATTTATGTTTATAAATGATACAGATCTGTTTACAAGGTTTGTAGATACTTTTTTTGTTCCTGTTCATAGATGGGAAGCTTCCTTATAAATGATGCAGAGAAAAAAAAAAACAACGAAAAAAAAACAAAAAAAAACTAGTCCTTCAAATACTGCTGTATTTTCAGGAAAAGGGTGTTTCTATTGAAACTGTACTAAATTTTGCCTGCAATTTACCTTGTTAAATATTGTAGATAAATTGCTAATACTAATAGCCAAATAGATAACACTAATGCTTTGTAAAAACATGAGCAGTGGTGTTCTAATGAAGTTATGGCCTCTGTCCTAATTAGTTTCTTAAATACATTTACTACTTAATGGTTTTGAAACAACTGTTTAATTTTTAAAAATTTTGAGAAACTTACTGAATAACTTTTGTTCAGAACTTAGTAGGATTGTTTAATGCAGGACATCAATATGTGATGGAACTTGCTTGAAATATTTCTGTTATCTCGGGCAAAATGGATTAAATCAAAATACATCAGAATCTTAGTCCTTTGTTTTTGTCTAAACATGTTAGTTTAGTGCTGTCTTGGTGAACTGTGAGTGGAACTGTGATTTTTTTCTAATCTATAGAATCCTTCATGCAGCATGAGGGCTGTTGGCATTTTGAAAGGTTGTTAGTGGGTAGCATACATGTTCTCCTTTTTGTTTTTGAAACTTGTTTGTAAACATGAATAAATCTGCCCTTTTGTTAAAATAAAATTGCAGCAATGGTTTCTTACAGATGTTTTTTTTTTCTCAGCTCCTTCACTGGAAACACTGAAAAGTATTCTTTTGTATTACTAGTTAACTTTAAACTGCAATTTCAAGATGGTAACAGCCCCACTAAAAATAGGACTTTGGGTAAATGGAGTCATGGTGGCTGCCTCCAGAATGAATGTAAGCTAAGGTACTCAAAAATCTTCACTGAGCCGAAAGGATACTCCTTGGGAAGGAATAGTCTGCCTGAAATTCCGAGACTTCCTGTGAGTACTGCATCATAAATGTGTCCCTGACCGCTTAAGTGAGGGGAAACTGAGAACTGACATACAGCATGGGCGAAAGTACATTTTTCAGTTGATTAATATCTTGTGCACCAAAACTGCCCTGCTAGCGATTGACTGAAGAAGTTATGGTCAGCCTCAACTGCATTGTTTCAACAGCGAAGGATGGTGGAACGGTACTTGATCTGGTACTTCTTGTTTTCTAGGTCCGATACTGCTTAGAAGAGCAACCGAAGAGTTGAGTTGTAAACTCTTTTCTCTTTTTTTTTTTTCTTTCTTTTTCCAGCTCTGTGTTCTTTAAATAGTGAGTGATATTTTGTTTTTATTATTTTTCCAAAGTAGTCCAGAATTTTTGAGATTTTAAAAGGAGTCCCTTCAAAGGAGTGCAGTAATTAAGTTGGTAATGAGGGAGGAGATAATACTAGAGCAAACTGCAGAAATGAGCAGGTTGGGGAGCTCGAGTGTATCTTTCCTTTGTGGTGGGATACATGCATGCTTGGGTTTGTCCTTCAGTGGCGAATGTTCAACCTGTAGCACTGTATCCCACTGTCAACCACTCCTGAATTCAGTCTTTTCTAGTGTACTCGAGTAAATACACTGAATTCTAGGCAAAGGAGGGTGTTTGCACTTGACACTTCGTATAGTGATTTCTCCCACATGTTTCTAGCACTTCCCTTATCTCGTAGTTCTTACCTAGAGTGCTTGATAGGGGGATCGGTTTGTACGTAAGCTGTTTTCTCCCTACTTATAAAAATCAGATAAGCATTGGCTTAAAATGAGGAGAATTTCTTTACGCATGAAGTACACTGCCATGTGAGAAAGTATCTTCATTTAACTTCATTGACACATCGTAATTTGACTTCACTTGAAAACAGACTTTAATTTTGCCCTCTCTTCTGGCTGTGATCATGACTGCGTGTTACCTTTTTTGGAATAAAGTCCTCACTTAAACCTTTTGGGGAGGGGTGGGAGGGTGAATGGAGGCTTTGTACATCGGTGGTCCCTCTTGGTTCTGTTAACATCTGTGTGCTGTTCTTACAGGAAATTTCCTTATGGAAATAAGGAAAAGTTGTTTAAGAGGGGGGGTGTGCTTTCTTTGTGATCTCAAGAAATCATAACGTGTTGCCTAGATTATGACATGGTTATCACTAAGCTCATGGGGCCTTCATTGCCTTTCTGGTTGTAAGGTTTACTTGTCTTTTCTTCTTGTAACTGAAATAAATAAAAGTGCTGTTCATCTCAGTCTGTATGGGGACTGAAATTCTTGAATGTCAGTACAGTACTGATTTAAACCTGAAATACATGCCAGTTCTGTAAAATAGATCTTGCTACACCTTTAAGCTCATTCCCGTTCAAGAGGTCATGGTGTACATGCTATTATGACCAAGCAATAGTAACTTTTAACATAAATGTAGTTCTAGACTGACTACTGTTTGAAGTGGCTTAAAATTCAGTATCCTGGGGAGAATGTCTAGGATATTTGTGTGTAAGACAAATGTTAGGACACCTAATCTTGGCTTTGAGGGAGGAGTAAAAATTCTTAAAATAAGAGAACTCATTTTTTCTGTATTGGTCTTAACAGGAAGAGGAAAATGCTGCATCATGGAGTAGTCTGGAGAGAATAACGGAAACAAATGCCTTAATGCCAAACCAATGGGTAAATGCAGGGGTCTGTAGCAAGTGGAAGCAGCCAAAAAATGTGAACTAACACTCAGAGACTTTCTTAGACTAACAGGAAGTTTTCCAATGTGTTTCAAAGTAAGCAAGCAAATGTGATATTCGTGGAAGGAGAACTCGTGTGTGGTGAAGCTATTTGGAAGCTACTCCAAAGGCCTGATAAGTTCAGTGTCTACTGCTAGTAGTGCCAGCCTCTGCAGAGCCCTAGAAGAATCCAGATCATATTAAGCCTTGCATAAATTGAAGTAGAACGTCTTAATGTCCATACTGCTTTTCTGATTCAAATGCTTGGTTCTAAAGAAGTCCTGCCTTCCCCCCCCCGCCTCCCCAAGCAGTGCATATCTTCTGGTCTTACAGATTTCAAGCCCTCACTGAAATACCTTAACTTTGTTGGATGAGCCTGGCCAGCATGGAGGGTCCAGCTCCGACTCTATCTGCAGACTGAACTGGCCTGCTTATTCAGGGCCATGTCACAAGAATTTCTGGGACAGAATCAAGAGCCTAAAAGCTGCTCCTGCTTATCTTCTGCTCTGGACTGTATACAGAACTATCTAACCACCAGCTTCAAGAGACTGCAGCATCCATGAAGGAGATGGCTTACACGGTGTCTAACCCAAAAGCCTCCTACAGGTACTACTTGTCCTTTTTGTTCAAAATGAGGTCTAGGATGAGGATTTGCTTGGAAAACTCTGAGTATGAGATGGGTTTAAACACCTGAAAGAAGACTGCATGAAATAGGTAGTTCACTAGACAGTGGCAGCACCATTCTAGTTGCAAAGCATAAAGCTAGAGTTGGTGCTTATGTTGCTAATCTGCCAAAGCAGGGAGTGTTCCTCAGCAGGAGAAACAAATTGGATGTGGCTCTTGTGCTTTCATAGCAACTCAGCAGCATTAATAGGAGGTTGTATAGAAAAGGAGAAGACATAGTTTATGTCCAAAACAAGAACAGCTGCGAGGAAGGAAGCAGGCTTCTCGTGCCCTGTATGGAGCAAGCAGAGGACTTTGTTCTGTGTCCACAACAGAACTTTATGACCACTTCAGATCTTGTTGAGTGTTCTCGGTATATTCCTTTAAAAGACAGATAAGGATGCCGAGCATTGCAGAAGATGGGCAGTAGCTTGCTTCAGCCATATCTGATCAAGATTTAGTGAATTCCTCTGTTAACTCTTTACTACTGCTCTGTGCACCTGACATCTCATTTTCTAAAAATCCATAAAATTGTTAGGCTGAAAAGGGTTCCTTGACTTGTCCCTACTGGAAGACGATGGGAATTCAAGCTTGGAAAACTGACTAGCAAGGGGATTTCTTGGAATTAACAGCTTGTGGTTGATGGAAGTGTACGTTCTGGAATACTGCAACATCACCTGGCATCTCAAATTCTGGTGTAGCGACAAGTGTCGATCCAACCATGAAGCAGCAGTTGCTCGTTGAAATGCAAGTATGCATTCTGTATCCCTTTGATTCATGGCAAAGCTAGCGGTCTCTAACAATGTTCTGAACATCTTCATCTGCTTTCCTAGGCTGCCTTTCTTACAGGGCATGAAGCTGAAGTATGCTGGAGGACCGTAAGTACGATCATACAGAAAACTTTCTATGGCTTCCTCCTTAGCAAAGGCACAATCTTGGCATTGCTCTATGACAACTGCTAAGGCACAAAAGGAATACTAGCTTTTCCTGTTTAAAAGCTTTCAGAGTCTCCTGTAAAGAATCAGAGCATACAGGTCAAATGCTTCTAAGCTTTCTGTGAATAGACTTCCAAAACTTCTGATTTATGGTACTACAATTAAAAAAAAAAAAAAGAAAGAGAGAGAAAACACCACCTCAAATAAACCCTAGATGAGACATCTGTTATCTTTGGACAATTTCAGTTTTACAAATACAGGATTTAACTTGATGTTTTTCCTCTTCCACAAGTTGCTTGCTCTGATGGCTATAGGTACAAAGCATCTTCAGTTATGACCTAAGCTAGTCTCGAGATCTCCTGAAGGTAAGCCTCTATTTGGCTGATGTTTGTGGGGAAATACAGAGCTTAATTTGAACACTGTGCTGGCAGGTACTGCATAGTGTTTTGTGCTACGGGGAGAACCTGCAAAACTTTCAATTTAGAATATTCAGATCCTTGCCATAGGACCTGTCAAAGGATACATGGGTCAGGCATAGATTACGTGAAATAAGGAGCTTTAGGAATTGATATTTTGATAGGAAGCAATAGGATTTGCTTTCTGACAACGCTTCTTTTAAAGATGGGAAGGTATGTCTTTACTCTCTTGCCATGTATTGGTCATTAATATTCTGATCAGTGTGATAGTCTTAATTCATTGAGGACCGTCATCCAAAAGGCACTATATTAAGCTAGTGTTTTTAAATAATAATACTCTGGAAAAGGTACTTTCTGTCATATTTTCATTTTCAAAATGATGAGATGTTCCTAGCTTTCTTCCTTTTACCAAATCAACTAAGCTCTGTTCTAATAAACCTAGGAGTAGTACAGACCTGACCTAAAATTTGGTATCTTCTCCCTTTCTCCTCCCTTCTAGTCTGCCAAGGACTATTGTAGGGAATCAGTGAAGGACAGCTGGAGTAAGAGGTGCAATTGTGGATTTGTCTCCTTTATCATCCTTCTACCTTGCCTTATGCTCTTCTCTTCTGCCTTCTACTGCAAGATCTCGCCCGCTATCAGTAAACATGCTGGAAAAGTGCTGTGCAATCTGGCTGTCGGTGTTTCCACTGCAGGGTCCTTAATGTGCTCCTTCCACTTTTTAACTGGTGTGAAGGCTTGAAGAATTAGGTTTTAGACTAAGAAAGAACAGTGAACGAACATAAGAATGAGCCATAGAGAATGAACATTTAAGACCAAATGTTTCCCCCAGGTGGTTCATAAAAACCCCTGACCTAGGGGAGCCCTTGATGTTCGTTCGTACCTCTGTGCCTGCTCATATGAAAGCACCTTGGTATATAGACAAGGTTCCAGCTCTACACATAGCAGGACTTTGGTCATACTTGCAAGATGTACAGGTGCTGCCAACTAGGATAACATTTTTAAATTT